CAGAAGCCTACTCTATGGGAACTGGAGCAGCTTGCAGCATGACCTTTGGTGAACAGAAGTCTACTCTACAGGGACTGGAGCAGCTTGCAGCATGACCTTTGGTGAACAGAAGCCTACTCTATGGGAACTGGAGCAGCTTGCAGCATGACCTTTGGTGAACAGAAGCCTACTCTACAGGAACTGGAGCAGCTTGCAGCATGACCTGTGTTGAACAGAAACCTACTCTACAGGAACTGGAGCAGCTTGCAGCATGACATTTACATTTTAGTCATTTAGCAGACGCTCTTATCCAGAGCGACTTACAGGAGCAATTAGGGTTAAGTGCCTTGCTCAAGGGCACATTTACGTCATTTAGCAGACGCTCTTATCCAGAGCGACTACAAATTGGTGCATTCACCCTATAGCCAGTGGGATAATCACTTTACAATTATACTTTTTTTTGGGGGGGGGGGGGGGGGGGGTAGAAGGATTACTTTATCCTATCCCAGGTGTTCCTTAAAGAGGTGGGGTTTCAAATGTCTCCGGAAGGTGGTGAGTGACTCCGCTGTCCTGGCGTCGTGAGGGAGCTTGTTCCACCATTGGGGTGCCAGAGCAGCGAACAGCTTTGACTGGGCTGAGCGGGAACTATGCTTCCGCAGAGGAAGGGGAGCCAGCAGGCCAGAGGTGGATGAACGCAATGCCCTCGCCTGGGTGTAGGGACTGATCAGAGCCTGAAGGTACGGAGGTGCCGTTCCCCTCACTGCTCCATAGGCAAGCACCATGGTCTTGTAACGGATGCGAGCTTCAACTGGAAGCCAGTGGAGTGTGCGGAGGAGGGGGGTGACGTGAGAGAACTTGGGAAGGTTGAACACCAGACGGGCTGCGGCATTCTGGATGAGTTGTAGGGGTTTAATGGCACAGGCAGGGAGCCCAGCCAACAGCGAGTTGCAGTAATCCAGACGGGAGATGACAAGTGCCTGGATTAGGACCTGTGCCGCTTCCTGTGTAAGGCAGGGTCGTACTCTCCGAATGTTGTAGAGCATGAACCTGTAGGATCGGGTCACCGCCTTGATGTTAGCGGAGAACGACAGGGTGTTGTCCAGGGTCACGCCAAGGCTCTTCGCACTCTGGGAGGAGGACACAACGGAGTTGTCTACCGTGATGGCGAGATCATGGAACGGGCAGTCCTTCCCCGGGAGGAAGAGCAGCTCCGTCTTGCCAGGGTTCAGCTTGAGGTGGTGATCCGTCATCCATACTGATATGTCGGCCAGACATGCAGAGATGCGATTCGCCACCTGGTTATCAGAAGGGGGAAAGGAGAAGATTAGTTGTGTATCGTCAGCGTAGCAATGATAGGAGAGGCCATGTGAGGATATGACAGAGCCAAGTGACTTGGTGTATAGGGAGAAAAGGAGAGGGCCTAGAACTGAGCCCTGGGGGACACCAGTGGTGAGAGCACGTGGTGCGGAGACAGCTTCTCGCCACGCCACTTGGTAGGAGCGACCGGTCAGGTAGGACGCAATCCAGGAGTGAGCCGCGCCGGAGATGCCCAGCTCGGAGAGGGTGGAGAGGAGGATCTGATGGTTCACTGTATCAAAGGCAGCAGACAGGTCTAGAAGGACAAGAGCAGAGGAGAGAGAGTTAGCTTTAGCAGTGCGGAGAGCCTCCGTGACACAGAGAAGAGCAGTCTCAGTTGAATGACCAGTCCTGAAACCTGACTGGTTTGGATCAAGAAGGTCATTCTGAGAGAGATAGCAAGAGAGTTGGCTAAAGACGGCACGCTCAATAGTTTTGGAAAGAAAAGAAAGAAGGGATACTGGTCTGTAGTTGTTGACATCAGTGGGATCGAGTGTTGGTTTTTTGAGAAGGGGTGCAACTCTCGCTCTCTTGAAGACGGAAGGGACATGGCCAGCGGTCAAGGATGAGTTGATCAGCGAGGTGAGGTATGGGAGAAGGTCACCGGAGATGGTCTGGAGAAGAGAGGAGGGGATGGGGTCATGCTGCAAGCTGCTCCAGTTCCCATAGAGTAGACTTCTGTTCACCAAAGGTCATGCTGCAAGCAGCTCCAGTTCCCATAGAGTAGGCTTCTGTTCACCAAAGAACCTTTGGTGAACAGAAGCCTACTCTATGGGAACTGGAGCAGCTTGCAGCATGACCTTTGGTGAACTGAAGCCTACTCTACAGGAACTGGAGCAGCTTGCAGCATGAGCTTTGGTGAACAGAAGCCTACTCTATGGGAACTGGAGCAGCTTGCAGCATGACCTTTGGTGAACAGAAGTCTACTCTACAGGAACTGGAGCAGCTTGCAGCTTGACCTTTGGTGAACAGAAGCCTACTCTATGGGAACTGGAGCGGCTTGCAGCATGACCTTTGGTGAACAGAAGCCTACTCTATGGGAACTGGAGCTGCTTGCAGCATGACCTTTGGTGAACAGAAGTCTACTCTATGGGAACTGGAGCAGCTTGCAGCATGACCTTTGGTGAACAGAAGCCTACTCTATGGGAACTGGAGCAGCTTGCAGCATGACCTTTGGTGAACAGAAGCCTACTCTATGGGAACTGGAGCGTTTTGCAGCATAACCTTTGGTGAACAGAAGCCTTCTCTATGGGAACTGGAGCAGCTTGCAGAATGACCACATGGCTCTGGTCAAAAGTAGTGCACTACATAGGGAATAGGGTCCCATTTGGGACGTGTCCTATGTGCTTGAATATGAATATACAGTTATTGTAATATCAAAATATTTATTATTTTGTTCCCGTTATTTATCACAATACTACTCTGTGCCGAGGCACTACACATTAAGTGTCATTTTACATAAGCAGCGTAGGTTGATGTAGTTGTTGTTCCGTCAACAAAGCTTGCTTTGGGTATATCTCACTGTAATGATTGGCTGTACAGAAATCATCCCCCTTTACACTGTAATTCTGTAGTAAAAAACACCTTGTTGACTTTGCAGGGAATAAAAGCTTGAACTAATACATTTATCACCACAATTGTAAAGGCATTGTTGAACCTTTTTTTGCAACCCCCCTTAGTGCAGTTCACCGCCGTGCTGAAGGACCCATGGATAATACTTTATTTTATTTTCAGATCAACAGCCAGAATTCCAGCTGAGGGCACGTATGATCCTGTGTGAAATCAGTTAGCAGAGCTGCACTACCCAAACACGGCCTTCCTGTCTGTATGGAACGAACAGAGAGCCTGGTTTATACTGCCTTCCTGTGGGTATAGAACGAACAGAGAACCTGGTCTACTCTCTGTATGGAACGAACAGATAACTTGGTTTACTGTCTGTGTGGAACGAACAGAGAACCTGGTTTACTGTCTGTATGGAACGAACAGAGAACCTGGTTTACCATCTGTATGGAATGAACAGAGAACCTGGTTTACTGTCTGTATGGAATGAGTAGAGAACCTGGTTTACCATCTGTATGGAACAAACAGAGAACCTGGTTGACCATCTGTATGGAACGAACAGAGAACCTGGTTTACTGTCTGTATGGAACGAATAGAGAACCTGGTTTACTTTCTGTATGGAACGAACACAGAACCTGGTTTACTGTCTGTATGGCTCTCCAGAGGGAAGCTCACTGTCACTCACTCACACACACACACACACACACACACACACACACACACACACACACACACACACACACACACACACACACACACACACACACACACACACACACACACACACACACACACACACACACACACACAGGTAATCCTTACTGCAGCTGAATGACCAAATAGAACCAGGAGCTCCTGGTTTGTGTGTATGTATGCATTCCTGTGACGTTAGTGTGTTTGTGTGTGTTTGTGTGTGTTTGTGTACGTGTGTGTCTGTGTGTGTTTGTGTTTGTGTGTGTGTTTGTTTGTGTGTGTGTGTGTGTGTGTGTGTTTGCGGCTGTTGACAGATTTAAATCTACTAAGCTGCAGTGATCGTACTGTAACAGTGGGAGATCACCAGTGTCTTAACACCATGATCTCCTTTGTGAACTCTGCAGTGAGATTTGTAGATGGCAGATAACAACACAACTATAACAGAGAGCGAGAGAGAGAGGGGGGAGAGGTTGGGGGACGGGGGAGAGAGAAAGGGGGGGAGAGCTAGAGAGAGAGAGAGAGGGAGAGAGAGAAAGAGAGAGAGAGGGGGGGCTAGAGAGAGAGAGCGAGAGAGAGAGAGAGAGAGAGTGGGGGGAGAGCTAGAGAGAGAGAGAGAGAGGGGGAGAGGTTGGGGGATGGGGAGAGAGCGAGCGAGGGGGAGAGCTAGAGAAGAGAGAGAGGAGGGAGAGAGAAGAGTAGGAGAGTGGGGGAGTGCCTAAGGATAGAGATAGAGAGAGAGAGCAAGGCAGAGAGAGTGGGTAGAGAGAGGGGGGAGCTAGAGAGAGAGCGAGAGAGAGAGAGGGAGGCTAGAGAGAGAGAGAGAGGGAGAGTCTAGAAGAGAGAGAGGAGGGGAGTGGAGAGCTAGAGAGGGGGGAGAGCTAAGAGCGTAGTTGTTGGCGAGCTTAGAGAGAGGGAAGAGGAGAGGGGGAGAGCTAGAGAAGAGGAGAGATAGTCGATAAGATGAGAGGGGCAGAGCTCCTTGAACGCGAGCCGTGCTCGACCTCGAGACATTCACCCTCATCCTTATTTCTTTCACGCTGCGCTCCATCACCTTCCAGATCCCCCCAATACCTTTTGCCGGCCTTTGGCATATATGTTATTTCTTACTCTACCACAACCGCTTTCAACACTTTCACAGTAACTTCAATCAATCACTTTATGAAGCCATTTTTATGTCAGCAGTGCTTTCAGTGGCCTGGCCGAAACCCCAAAGAGCAAGCAAGCAGAAGTTAAAGAGCACGATGTTGGTCCAACTGATGTCCTCTCCTATATTCCCCTCACTCGCCCACCTGACCTCTTACAAATATACTGTACATTTGGGGTAGGTCTAAGAGACACCATCAGAGGGCTGATAGAGGTAGGTCTAAGAGACGCCATCAGAGGGCTGATAGGGGTAGGTCTAAGAGACGCCATCAGAGGGCTGATAGAGGTGGTCTAAGAGACGCCATCAGAGGGCTGATAGAGGTAGGTCTAAGAGACGCCATCAGAGGGCTGATAGGGGTAGGTCTAAGAGACGCCATCAGAGGGCTGATAGGGGTAGGTCTAAGAGACGCCATCAGAGGGCTGATAGGGGTAGGTCTAAGAGACACCATCAGAGGGCTGATAGAGGTAGGTCTAAGAGACACCATCAGAGGGCTGATAGGGGTAGGTCTAAGAGACGCCATCAGAGGGCTGATAGGGGTAGGTCTAAGAGACACCATCAGAGGGCTGATAGGGGTAGGTCTAAGAGACGCCATCAGAGGGCTGATAGGGGTAGGTCTAAGGACGCATCAGGGCTGATAGAGGTAGGTCTAAGGACGCCATCAGAGGGCTGATAGGGGTAGGTCTAAGAGACGCCATCAGAGGGCTGATAGGGGAAGGTCTAAGAGACGCCATCAGAGGGCTGATAGGGGTAGGTCTAAGAGACGCCATCAGAGGGCTGATAGAGGTAGGTCTAAGAGACGCCATCAGAGGGCTGATAGGGGTAGGTCTAAGAGACGCCATCAGAGGGCTGATAGGGGAAGGTCTAAGAGACGCCATCAGAGGGCTGATAGAGGTGGTCTAAGAGACGCCATCAGAGGGCTGATAGAGGTAGGTTTAAGAGACACCATCAGAGGGCTGATAGGGGTAGGTCTAAGAGACGCCATCAGAGGGCTGATAGGGGTGGTCTAAGAAACACCATCAGAGGGCTGATAGAGGTGGTTTAAGAGACACCATCAGAGGGCTGATAGGGGTAGGTCTAAGAGACGCCATCAGAGGGCTGATAGGGGTGGTCTAAGAAACACCATCAGAGGGCTGATAGAGGTGGTTTAAGAGACACCATCAGAGGGCTGATAGAGGTGGTTTAAGAGTCGCCATCAGAGGGCTGATAGGGGTAGGTCTAAGAGACGCCATCAGAGGGCTGATAGAGGTGGTCTAAGAGACACCATCAGAGGGCTGATAGAGGTAGGTCTAAGAGACGCCATCAGAGGGCTGATAGGGGTAGGTCTAGGAGACGCCATCAGAGGGCTGATAGGGGTAGGTCTAAGAGACGCCATCAGAGGGCTGATAGAGGTGGTCTAAGAGACACCATCAGAGGGCTGATAGGGGTAGGTCTAAGAGACGCCATCAGAGGGCTGATAGAGGTGGTCTAAGAGACACCATCAGAGGGCTGATAGAGGTGGTCTAAGAGACGCCATCAGAGGGCTGATAGAGGTGGTTTAAGAGATGCCATCAGAGGGCTGATAGGGGTAGGTCTAAGAGACGCCATCAGAGGGCTGATAGAGGTAGGTCTAAGAGACGCCATCAGAGGGCTGATAGAGGTGGTCTAAGAAACGCCATCAGAGGGCTGATAGAGGTGGTTTAAGAGATGCCATCAGAGGGCTGATAGGGGTAGGTCTAAGAGACGCCATCAGAGGGCTTAGGGGTAGGTCTAAGCTGGGATCCCATGTGGTGGACAATCCTTTTTCTTCCAATTTGGAGAAATTAGCTTGGGGTTGAAACATCCGAACCACCCCCCTCTGTCCCCCCCCCCGCCCCTGCTACCCAGGGAGACGCCAGTAAAGCACGCCGTGCCACTACCCCCCTTCACCCCTACCCCCACTGGCTCAGCTGTGTTAAACCCTCCTGTGACATCTAAACTTTTAATTCATGGCAACATTAACAGCATTGATTAACATATGTGCCAGTGGCAGTCTGCTGGAGAATTCCCCATTGATCTGTAAAGAGAGGATGCTGTGATGTTGGAGTTTCATCTTTGTACTCTGACTGTCTGTGACTGCGTACCAAATTATACCCTATTACCTTGATAGTGCACTCCTTTTGACCAGAGCACTGGTTAAAATTAGTGCACTACATAGGGAATAGGGGGCCATAAGGGATGCATCCTATTTTTGGCCATTAACTATAGACTAGAGCTTTGTGTTATTATGAGGGAGGGAGGGGAGAGTTCCTTTTGAAATTACTGGGGGTAGAAGGGGGAGAAGGGGGAGAAGGAGAAGGGGGGAGGAGGGGTCACAGATTTACAGAATATTTCAGTTGTTTTCTAATGTTTTTCCCCTCAGGTTAGAGCCTTTAAGAAAGGAAGACATGAGGGGTGGTTTGGTCGACTGTTCTGCTACGACCTCTAATCTATTATTCAGTTCTTTGGTTCCCGAGAGAGAGAGGGAGAGAGACAGAGGGAGAGAGACAGAGGGAGAGAGACAGAGGGAGAGAGAGGAGAGAGGAGAGAGAGAGAGAGAGAGAGAGAGAGAGAGAGAGAGAGAGAGAGGAGAGAGAGAGAGAGAGAGAGAGAGAGAGAGAGAGAGAGAGAGAGAGAGAGAGAGAGAGAGAGAGAGGGATGGATGGAGAGAGAGGGAGAACGCCACAACCATAAATAAGAGTGCTTTTCATCGTTGACACAGAGTGAAAGTAAAACATATATTTCATATATAAGAGTAGAATCCATCATAGGTCCTCCCTGTCAGAGCTGGTCTCCCGGCCGTTGGCCTGTCATGTGGTGGACACAGCGGACTCTGCACTCACAATCCGGCTCATCTCCTGAGATTTTCGTGGTGACAGCTTACCCTCGCAGCCCCGTCCCTGCAGTACAGAGGTGGACTGTAGTAGTCCAATGTTGCTTTGTAGTCTAATATATGTGGCAGCTTGGATGAACAAGCAAGCAGACTGGGACATATCTGCACACACCACTACTGTAGCACATATTTGAAGATTGAAAATGCCCCAGCCCAAGCTTTGAAGATTGAAAATGAATAAGTAGTTACTTCAAGAGTATGGTTTTATACTCCCTGTCCATTCAAGTACTCAAGTAAATATAGTATTTCCCAAAGAAGCCTGTTTATATATCATTTTGAGGGAAGGAATGATACCTAGCTTTTCACACAACTGAGCTGAGCTGAGATAAACTGTACTGTGCTGGCCTGGTTATGCATTCACTATAGTTGCTGGAGCTGTGCTGGTGGATAGGACAACAAACAAGATATCTGGGCCTGAACGATTTAGATCGTCATGATAGTGTGAGAAGGGTATTAGACTGTTTTGGCTGCAGCGTGGCTTGGAAGCCTCCTCTTTGGCTGCAGCATGACTTGGAAGCCTTCTCTTTGGCTGCAGCATGGCTTGGAAGCCTTCTCTTTGGCTGCAGTTTGGCTTGGAAGCCTTCTCTTTGGCTGCAGCGTGGCTTGGAAGCCTTCTCTTTGGCTGCAGCGTGGCTTGGAAGCCTTCTCTTTGGCTGCAGCGTGGCTTGGAAGCCTCCTCTTTGGCTGCAGCGTGGCTTGGAAGCCTTCTCTTTGGCTGCAGCTTGGCTTGGAAGCCTTCTCTTTGGCTGCAGCGTGGCTTGGAAGCCTTCTCTTTGGCTGCAGCTTGGCTTGGAAGCCTTCTCTTTGGCTGCAGCGTGGCTTGGAAGCCTTCTCTTTGGCTGCAGCGTGGCTTGGAAGCCTTCTCTTTGGCTGCAGCGTGGCTTGGAAGCCTTCTCTTTGGCTGCAGCTTGGCTTGGAAGCCTTCTCTTTGGCTGCAGCGTGGCTTGGAAGCCTTCTCTTTGGCTGCAGCATGGCTTGGAAGCCTTCTCTTTGGCTGCAGCGTGGCTTGGAGCAGGGCTGGAAACGCTTCTCTGTTCCTTGGAAGATGAGACAAGTGAATGGCCTTTAACAGTTTCACTGAACACAAACACAATTATGCTTAACTTCCTCATTGGCTGTTGGTGAGTTCATTACCCCACTGTGCTACCGACACAGAGCCAGGTGCCAGGGGCGATGAGCCATGCATGCAGCCACCACACAGACAGGGTAGGAGGATCGAGGGACAGAGAGAGAAATGAGGATGTTCAATAGGCTGCTGATTTGAAGATAAGTGATCCTCCTGAAGGAGGAAAGGGTTTCGTCTCTCGCTTCACGGTCCTGCTGCCTGAAAGGAATATCCACCTGCTTCCAGGCTCAATTGGTTCTTGTGTTAGAATTTTTGTTCTTTTTTTCTCAGTGTGTTTTCCCCCTCAGTATGGGATTTGGAGCTGTGAATGTGACTATAAGATGGTTAAAAGAAGTGCACTAAATAGGGAATGGGGTGCCATTTGGGATACACACGAAGCCACTCAGAGCTCTCCATCTCATTAAGTTCAGTGGAGACGAGAGCCTTAAGACGTTTGTGTAGATTTTTCTGCCTGGAATCAACAGTGTCCTGTTTTTCAACCCTAATCCCTCCCTCCCAACCTCCTCTATTTCTTTATTTCTCTCTCTTTCTCTCACTCTCTCCCCCTCTCCTTTTATGTGCTGTAGTTGATCAGGAGGTACTGCAGCCTTGTTTGTCTTCATGGTTCTCTCCTAATATTTCCCAGACTGTTTATCCTTTTCACCCAGCTGCCTATTAGGATTCCAAGCAGACTGTCTCCAGTAGTTAAGGTGCTGTAGCAGTCTGTATCTAACCACAGGTGGTGTACCAGTACAACTGACAGGTGGTTTTTCTCTCCGATTTACACGCTACTGTCAAAGCATATCCTCATTTGGCACCACGTATTACCTTCCTCAATGCTTCGACAAAATGACTCTAACCTTCAATACACCTACTAATGCATTCTACTACACACAGTATTCATGTTATCGCTGAGCAGTGCCAGAGATATTGGATTTGGTTAAAGTAACTTAATCCATGAAGAGCCACAAGATTAGACATTTTGCACGCTCTGTGTTACGAGCACAGCATTTACATAATCTGCTTTCATAATTGCCTTTGCGTGGCTCCCATTTTGCATTTCATTCATAATCCACACCATTAAAACATGTATTATTTCATTGAAAATAACACACCCTTTATTCAAACTTATCAGAATCACTGTAAGGTGAAGCATCTCACAGAACGTTAGTTGAGGGAAATATCCATGAAGTCACCTTGCTATAGATTTGCATGGACTGCAGGGGCCTGATCACTGAAGCTCGAGCTAATTATCAGAATTCTGCTCACACTAATGTGATAGTGGTGCTGCTCAATGGAACAGGGAGTTGTTGCCCATATTAATGCACCTACCTATTCAACAAGCAGCAGCAATGGGAGAGTGGACTGGCTCAGCAAAGCCCCTGCTTTACTGTTGTTGATCACACAAAGCTTGGGCTGGGGCAGATGAGGACGAGATAGCATGATTAATGTCAAGCCCGTATTACAACCCCAATACATATTAAGTAAATGTCAGTGGTGCTTTTAACCCATCAAAGTTACTGGTGGTGCCTTTAACCCAGCAGGCAGCAAGGTTACATGTGGTGTCTTTATCCCAGCAGGCAGCAAGGTTACATGTGGT